AGGCCACGACGCCCTAGAACCCAATTTCCCCTGACCTGTCGATTTGTCAATCTACAGGGTTGTCGGCCACTCCGTGTTTTACCTGAAGTCTGGGTCTCGGCTTGGTATTTTTAAATCTTAAAACTTAATCTCAAAGGGCGCTTTCTTCACTTTTTACTTCTATTACAATTTTAACCATTGGAGTCCAAGACACTGACAATAAAATTTGCCTATAAGAAGACCAATCACAGATTTTAAAGGTAATCTGCTCACCTGATATTCTTTGAGGATGTCCGAGCGTCAGTTTCCTGGACTCCTTTTCCACCCCGTAACGTCCGAACCCCAGAAGAAATCTCGATGTGGAACCTCCAATTGTTGTGCAAACAACCACGACCTTACTCACTCCGCCCGAGCTCGTTTAATTTCTTCCAACGTTGACCTATTACGAGGTGAAATATAGAACATACAAGTACTTAAAAGTTCAAACCCTCCTTTATTAAATGTAATTATAAGAGGTTAAGCAAAAATACAAAATACAAGATTATTCAACACTTTAGATGCGCATTTAAAGAGAGACAACAGACAACCTGGAATCAGGTGCACTCAGCTTCTCTGCTGGTATGTCATCTGGGCTGGTGAAGACTGCTGCCTTTCTTTTCACTCCTGCTTCTCCATGACCTCATGACCTCTGCTTCTTCCTTTCCTGCTCACAGTGGTAACAAGCAAGTCTCTGCCTCCCTTCCCCCTTATCTACATTCTTTCAAGGGGCCCAGTTTACACTCTCAGCCTCTCACTATTGACTCAGTAACTACATTAATGAGTTTTGCTATAACTAATTTACTCAAGATTCTACTGAATACACTGATTACTAATAAGTAAACAAAGCATTTAATTGATTATAAAACTGTTCACCTCAACAATAAGCAAACAAAGCATTTAATTGATTATAAAACTGTTCACCTCAACACTGTCTTTTTATTGCAACTAAATGGCTAGTTTTCAGAGACTGGTCTCAATTCAGGATGACTGTAAAAGTACTCCAGATGTTCCTCAACAATTTTGAGCAAGTTCTGTTGTAACATTTCAAAATAATGGCACTCCCAATACTGACAATTATGGTTCTCCCTCAAGTTGCTGTCTTTATTGCAAGTAAACGGCTAGTTGTCAGAGAATGGGCTCAATTCAGTCTAACTCTTGAAGTCCTCCAGATGTACTTCAAATATTATGAGTAATTTCTGATGTAGCATTTCAATATAAAAGCACTCCCAATACTTACATTGTAAATTTTTCTGCCCCTAAGTTGCTGTTTCTATTGCAACTAATCAGCTAATTGTCAGAGACTTCTCTCACTTCAGACTGACTCTAGAAAACCTCCAGATGTTCCTCAACAATTTTGAGCAACTTCTGTTGTAGCATTTTAAAATAATGGCACTCCCAATACTGACATTTTACAATTATGGTTCCCCCGAGTTGCTCTCTTTATTGCACATAAACAGCTAGTTGTCAGAGACTGATGTCACTTCAGGCTGCCTCTAGAATATTTCCAGATGTTCCTCAAAAATTATGAGTAACTTCTGATGTAGCATTTCAAAATAAAAGCACTCCCAATCACCAATCACTGATTAGAAAAAATGTTTATCCAATGTTGCTGCAGTGTAATACTTTCAAAAGGTTTAGGCTATGTAAAACGGGTTTATTGAGAGATTAACTCTAAATCTATATTGTGATTCATTTTAGGTTACCACATAGCCACATTGTAAATGGAACATTTAAATTAATTCTAATATGTAGATAAAAACTATAATGACTCATGATTCATCAT